GAACCTTAAGATACCCTGAAAATTTGAAGTCTCTAGCACATCTCCTTCTAGTGGAACAGACAGACAGACACACAGACACACAGACACGAGGTCGTTTGCATAAGCCCGCTGGATAGCTTTTTCAAAGCAGAAGGGCGGGCTAAAAACCCCAGCCGGAGCGATCAACGCCAGGACTCGCCGTAAACGTAAGTTATTCTGCCGTCTTCAAAGTGCACCTGAAGGTTAGCGGCGACGCATATTTATTTAATTTTGAGGAAAACGAGACTCGAGCGCCAATATATAAATACGGTTCAGGATTCTACTGAAGAATACCTTTCCGATGGTATACTTGAGTGACTCCAGGGCGAGGAGTCATTAAAGTAAACAATTACCCGAAGTTTTGTGGACATTCGCCTCTTTGTCAAACTGGTTCCTTGACATATGCCACCCTGTCAAATTTTCTGTGGACATTCGCCTCTTTGTCAGATTGTACATGGACATACGCCGTTTTGAGCTATGAGTGCAACTCAGGACCTAACATAGATAGAGATGTGCCGTTTCATTCTACTTCTGTATCATTTAATTAGGTATCACTTCCCCAAAGAAACTGAGTTTGGCAAAAATTTGGACATACGCCACTTTGTCAAAATTTGCCTGAGGTTAGGTTGCCGGTCGGTGCAAATTTATTGCAGAGTTGACTTTGATATGATTTTTTTCTTCACAGGATACACCATGGGAGGAGTCGATGAGCTCGACATCCACCGCTCCCAGCCTGGTTTCGGAGCCTAACTATAAGAGATCAAGTAATGACGAGCCTACCACACACATCTCTAAAAAGCAACCAGTTGATGAAGACTCTTTTGTGGAGAAAGTAACAATTGTTGTCAACAGTTTATCAAACGTTAATGACATTGTAAGTTTAATGTTCTATTATTTTTTTTACGGTTGGATTTTGTGCATGCTGACTTGATCATATATGCATTCTTAGCAATTGGAAGATGTTCTCAAGAGCAGCGTTTGTTGTCGTTGGGTTTTGAGGACATATTGTTGTGAACCGGGCCACGGGCTCGCGGTTGCACTAGGAGGCAGGGGTGGTTAAAGGAAAGGCTGAGTTAGGCACAAGTATTTATTGAGTCCTCGTTACAAGGTAGTCACGGTAGCGCGGCGCGGTAGCGACAGTGCACGGGAGCACGGTAAGAGTCTGAGAGAGCGTACGTCCTACATCAAGCTCGTCCCAGACAGAAGTTTCGGTCCGAGCGCAGCGCGGGCCGCTTGCGCTCGCTCGAGCTAGAGAGACTGTAAGCAAGCAGAGAGGCGTCAACTCGGCCGCCGGGCGCTGCGCTGTGATTGGCCACGTCCCCAGTGAAAATATCCGCACTACCGCGTGCACA